AAAAGAAAACAGCAGAATCCCTCGTGGCAACGCCAGCGGTCATCAATTTATTTCCTTAGCTTCTGCTTTCTCTCACTGACGTATGAAGCTCACATTTACGTGGTTGATAGGCAACCCCGGGGAAAATGGTCAGACAATATTGCCACATCCCCCAAATCCCACAACGACAAAGACATCTTGATCTTGTTCATGAGAAACAAGTGAATGAGGGACAACGGGATAATTTGTCAGAACAATTCATCCGCTTTTCGCTGGAGTGTATTGTGTACCTCAATGCACTGCTGCCTTTCCGGAAGGATATAATATACCCGTGATACCCATGAGTATACGTGGCAGATTATGGAACGCACCGTGACAACGGGCGGGGGTGGGGGAGGGAAGGGGCCGGAGAGGGTAGTTTGATATCATGCAGAGGAACGGTGGTGAGGTTATAGCCTATTCTCCCCCTATCGCCTCGATAATATATAGCCTTAACGATCTTCCTTGGTAATCTTGCACGGTGACGAAACGAGCTCCCTTCTGTGGACAACGAGACTCTGCGGAATCTCGGAAACAATGGATTCTACAGCATAGATCTCACCTGCGGGAGGCCTTTATCAGTATTTGGAAGGAATCAGGTCGGGGTCTTGTACTGTTGAAAAATAGCTGAATTTCATTGATAGTTTGGTAGCAATTATCAGAAGTGTGACACGCAATTCGATTTAGGAGGAGAAAATCATGACATTTACAATTGTGTTGGAAATCAAAGAGAATTTAAGGGTGCCAAGTGAATTTGAAAAAAGATTCAAAAAAAATGTTTTCTTTCCCTCCATCATTGGAGAAATATGTATTCATCCATCCGATGAAATTTCAAACCCGCAACCGGAACTAGACATCGAGAAAATAAATGCGGAAAATCCTCTATTTCGCGTGACGAACCTCGAGAAAGCATGGGATCAAATGGGTACGGCGGGTTGAAATATCTCTCTCATTCACCCCGGTACCCCATTGTTTTTTGTTGCCATCACATTGAACACATCATTCCCCATATCTTCAAATTTTTTCAAATTTTTCTTGAGTTCCTAGGGG